ATTGATAGTTACGTATGATGCACGATCCTCGCAGTAGAGAGCGCTATTTATGCAATAGCGATGAAACTGTTTTAGAGGGTAATTTTGAAAAAGAATTAAAAATTCAGATTAAAATCTTTTGAAATTATAATAACGTTTTCATACAAAGGAAGGGTCATAAAATCATCTTATATCGTAATAGTCATGGTATTTGATTCCGTTTCTTTTCACCGCGCGAGGATGCGGAGCACATTTTTCGGTGGTTTAAGCCCTCTCGAAGGTGAAAATTCTAAAAAATTAATTTTTTGGAAAATATCAATCGCAAGAAACTGAATCTTACATTTTCTAAAATAGTTTCATAAGGGCTTTAATATGACAAAGTTTGGGAGATTTCGATTTTTCCATCTTGCACACCTATCCGTGGTGTTTACAGAAAGTCGCTCAAGTTCTTTCAAATTTCAATACTTTAGCAACTTGAGCGCCACAAACACTGTTAAATCTCCGAGGAAAGGGACCTTTTAAAAGCGGTCAGGACGGCAACGCCGAGGAAAGTGTCGTTTTAAAAATAAATTTCTATGTAAGTTAGTATTTCGCCAAGGGCTGCATGTGTCTACCGTCTCTTACGGCGCTACATGTACACTCACTCCAACTTCAGCATAACAGATATGATAAGCGTTGAGTCGCAAATGGAAACCTAAATGATTTGCCGTCGGAGTTTCCGTTCTCTGACCAAATTTTACTGGTTTCACGTTGTTGTTTTGTAGAGGACGACTTAGAAATGTTCAAAGTTTTAAAACGCATGTTCTAAGCTATCGTTCTGCCCACGTCCTTATTGGCGTCGCCATCGTGTTTTGCTGAGGTTTCCTACTATTAATCTCTACCCTTGGAAACCAATCTCCAGGTTTGCAAATATTCTTGGTTGACGTCATCAAGATTGAAAAAAAAGAAATTGTCAATAATATTTGAGATTTTAGTTTAGTTAGTTATTAGAAAAGTTGAAGTCTTCTCTTTTTACAAATTCTCAGGTTGATAGGGGTTTTTGATAGGGTCTTGTGAAAAAGCAAGGTTGAATTACTAAGCTTTTGCATTACACGATATTAAAATGGCGGCCTAGAATGCTGTTACGTAGCTTAAAAAAATTAACTTATCCGCTTAGATTTTGCAATCTGAATAGTCTTTGTACGGAGAATGAGTACCTATATATATCTTTACGAGCCGTCAGAAGACGACTACTGGCTTTTTATAGCAAAATTCGATTACATGTATTTTTGTTCGCTTTAGGCCGCCGTATTTGTGCCCAGTCAGAGACACACAATCACGTACCTCCATACAAAGCCTTATCAATTTGGGTAAACATTTATTCAAATATCTCCCGCACGAAACATCGTACGACCTGAATCTGTGCGAGACTGTTTGAATATTCATCTCCTTTTTTCTCTTTGAGTTTTGACTTTATTTGTTGAATGGCTTTGATAATGGTGTGACAGTGAAAAACGGCAATACTCACATTACGGTGATTTTTAATAACCGATATTTTGAAAATATTAAAGTTTCACCTTTAGGTGTTTAAATATTTGAAAATAGCTTTGTATGCGTGGTAACTTATTTCTGACTTCCGGCCAAATCAAAAGAGCAAGTTGAAATCATGCCAGTCGAACGTCCCTAACTGAGTCTTCGTTACCTTTTATTGAGCGATACAAGAAACAAGTTTCTCTCGGGGAAAACCAAAGGCCAATGGGAATTTTAGCCGACATATTGATTTCCGCTTTGGTATTCTTGATTTGGGCTTTGGTATTCTTGGTATTCTTGATTTGGGCTCCGTTCATTTGTGCTCAAGCTGTACCGTCTGGTAAAATTACAAAAAGGAAAACTGAAAATAACAGTCTAACAACTTATCACCATTCGCTCCGACGAAGGGCTAACGCTCGAAACGTCAGCTTTTGTAATCGTTACCGTGGCCAATTTACCACTTCAACTTTGTTGATATATCCAAGTTATAACTTATCAATAACTCAAGTTACAGTTGCCACAAGGGAGCAAGTTAAGCGGTGAGATGTTACATTCAAAGTTGTCTTTTTTTTTAAGCGAGGTAGTGGCGGACGCAAAATCGCGAATTTAACGGCCCAAAAAAAGATACTTCTGGTACTCGGACTAGATTGAAATTTGGCAGGGGAAGCACCCCACATACAGATAGGTTGAAGTTTTAAAATAGTGGAGTTAAAGTGTCCCTGAGATCACAATTTTCGTACATCATTTTTTTTTTCATTTTCGTGTTCAGCGTGTCTCCTTCATCACCCCTGCCAAATAGGTCAGAGCGGGAAAAACGGGTGCGGTTTGTGCGAACCCGCCGGACAAACTTCAATCCCGCAGGAATATCTGTGATCTGTTCCGAACACTTTACGGAAGACTGTTTCGAGACATCTGTGCTCTTCGAAGGATCTAGGCGGAGAATTCTGCCGGGCTCAGTGCCTACCGTTCAAAACATGGGACAACATAAACCGTTCTCAGTACGATCTCGACAGAAGGGAAGTCTACGTGTTTTATCACCTTTACATGTGAACTGATCAATATCTGCTTTTAACAGCTCTCTGGAAGAATACATTACACAAAGGAAAGTACTCGGCGGACATTGTAAATGAAAATGATAAAATAGCCGAATTTAGGAATAAGATTTCTGACCTCGAAGATCACTTTTGAACAAAAGAGATGGAAAATATAAGAGTGTTCTCAGACTCTAAAAAAGCTAGCTTTAACATCAGCGAAAGCCGAACAAACAGCTTAAGATCGACACATAGAGCGTAGAAACACTTCAAAATGTAGGCTTACAGCCAGAGAAACGGAGAAAATGAAAAATTCTTAAAAAATCTCTCAAACTATCAACCATCTGACAGCCAAGTCAATGCTATCGAAGGGTCTCAAATTCATCCCAACACCCGTGACAAACCGTGAACGAATGTAAAATCAGGCCAACTCTTGCGAGATTTATTCGCAAGACGAATACGCCTCCAATACACCTTTCACGGACAAAACAAATGAACCACTTCCGTTTCATGTCAAACTAAATGCCACCAGTTCAGTCTGCTATTGCCCTTCAGAGCTACTTGGAAAATTGTCATGACACAACTTGCAGAGATTACTGTACCTGAGCCAAATACTTTGTAACGCAATGAAGTCACGGCTCTAAAAGAGTTGAAAAAAGAATAGTTCTGCTTTAAACTTCACAGAAGCAACTCAACCACAGTCATCGTGAATGAGAGGGAAAAAACAGAAGACGCCAAAGTGCAACTCGACAACAGAGTTCACTCCAAACCTCTCAAAGCATAGTCTCACTCGTAGCTGTTTCTAGTCTCGTCACGCAACGCTGGGAAGGAGCGTTGTGTGACGAGACTTAAAACAGCTGCGAGGGAGACTACTCAAAGCACCGATAGTAAAAAAACACGTAGGAAAGGGCTAATGAGATCATCGACCAAATGTATCGGGGCAAATACATTGATGGCATGACTTAGAAATGGCTCATATCACAAACTCCCAATATCCGCCTTGACACACAATCAGCCATTGCCGAAAACAATTTTATATAACATCCGATCATCTCTTACAAAAAGGGAAAATCCCTTACGACAAGCAAAAATACAATTTGAAGGCGATAAAGCGACGCAACCACAAAAGCCGCATAGGAAGTCAGTGCCGTTGTCTTTGCCTTTATTCTCATGGCATCGTTTGCCGCCGCAAAACTATCCTCAGAATCTTCAGATGATTTCTGGGACAATCCATCGGACGATTTTTGAACGACTTTGAAGCGGTAAAAATTGGTCATCGAAGGTTTGTTTTGAGTTTTTAATACCGAAAAGGGTTTTAACTTGACCCAATTCAACATTCTGGAAACAAACTAGCCCAAATAGCCCAAAATAAAATAGTCAATTTTTGTCTCAGGGGCACTTTAACGACATAACGATATAGGATTATTGTTCTGTTAGGGGAGGGGTGGGTGTGCAGTTGTTCAGATACCGATATTGATTCAGACCCACTGATGGGAACATACAGCCAGGTAAATATGCTCGCGGTTAGGGTAATTAGGGTAGCTTCTCGCTCGAATCAACTCATGAGGCTTCCCGACCAGCAGCTGGTTATTTGGCTTACCCTTGAATAAATTTCCAGAATGACTTTATCAGGTCCCGTCTCATGATGTAAACTTTTGCTCTACTAATAACTCTGGCCGTTTCTGGCATGTTTTCCAAGTGCATGACATCGATCAGAGAGACTGTGGCGCCTTCCTGATCTAAAAGACGCAGATTCTCGTAACCAAAACTCTGTATTAATCTTATAATATTCCTTTGAGGAGCCAGTTAACGCTTTGTGTTCTGGCTGTACGTTCTCCTTCTTATGTAATAATGCAGTGTTGGCTTTTTATGATCTAGAAATGACAAGGCATGGGTACGACAAGATCTCGCAAGACGACGAAAAAGCTCCGCAAAAAGTCAGCTTTGTTTCTTATGTTCTCTTTCAATGGATGAACAGTCTCTTCGAAACAGGCAAACAACGAGCGTTGGAGCAGAGTGATTTTTTGCCTCTTTCAAAAGAAAATCATACTTCGTTTGTAACCGAAAATCTTCAAGAGAGCTGGAGGAAGGAAGAGAGAAAATGCCACGAAACTCGAGGACGACCAAAGCTTTGGAAAAGTGTCATAAAAACAATCTCTTTAAGGGAAGTTATGATCCTCATTTGCATGGGTATTTTTCGCTCGTTCTTTAGTATTCCCCTCCCTCTCCTCCTTGGATATCTAATTTCAGCGCTAATGTTGCCTGACCCACAGGAAGAACTTCTCTACGGATGTGCACTTGCTCTTTGTTTCAGCACTTTGATAGAGAGAGTCACAGCTCAAATGCTTAGGTACAGATGTGAGTTATTGGCAATAAGAATTGGCAGTGCTCTAAAAGCCTTAGTTTATCATAAGGTAGGTACATTTATTCTGATAGAAGGTGGAAGGTAAAAATAATTTGAATAATTTGTTAGGTTAAAGGACCAATAGTGTATCTATAATTCTATTCTATCTCTTTCTTTAAAGAAAACTTTTCTATGCCTACTAACAACTCATATTACTTCCAAATTATCAGTCAAATTTTCCTCAAATATATTGTTGAGTTCAGCTACGTGATACGTTTGATCAATCGCGCCCAAATAAAATTTGATGATGAATGCAAAAGGAGTAATTCCTCTTTTCTAGACACTTCTACTCAGCAAGGACACATTGCTCCAGTACACAACAGGTAAAGTGATTACTCTGGTTTCAAACGATGTTCAGCGATTGGAAGGAGAGACTATCAAGTGGATCTTTTTGGGTTTCATTTCACTCATTGAACTCCTCTCGCTACCGCTTTTAATGGTGTATTTGATTGGCTGGCAGTCTCTCATGGGAGTGCTATTTTTGTATCTCCTCCTTCCATATTTCGCCTTACTGTCCCAAGGGGGTGCTGTTTTGCGTTTACGTACAGCAGCGGTCTCCGACCAACGTATCTCTCTGCTGAACCAGGTTATTTCTGGGATACGTTCTATCAAAATGCATGCTTGGGAAGATGAGTACCGGCAACAAGTCAGGAAAACTCGAAGGTAGGCAGATATTAGAGATATTATTGAACTAGAAATTTTGTCCCTAAATCAAGTTCCATGCAGGCTGTTTAAGGGGTTCTTAGATAAGAAATTTTGGCCGAATAACATCATGTCTTTTTCCATGTTTCGCTTCATGCGAATTTTCTTGAAAGGAGTTACGAAAACTTACCCAAATTTTAAGACTTATGGCTCTATTTTCACGGCCTATAAAACCACTAAGGCTCCTGAAAGATGTCTTTTTTTTTAACTTTTCACAAAATTGAAGAAAAATTAGACAAAAACCACTTAAGATACATTGCCAGGAAGACCCACCACCAACGAGCCAGCCAACTAAATGTAATCGATCGCGCCACCAAGACATGTTACCTTGCCATCAAATTTTTAACTAAATATACGTTTGCTTGAGCTCTAACTTAATGCTCATTGTTGTTACAGAGCAAAAAGTTAACAGGATCTCCTTGTGATCTTTCGAAACACATGCAGGTGATCAATAACATTTCTTTTCGGTATTGCCGTTCGTTCGATTAAAAAGCTAGTCACTTTAGTTTACTTTTCTTTGTTAAACATTCCAAACATTTACAGCCTAGACTTCGTCGTTCGATAGCCTGTTTGATATCTTCTTTGATCTGATCAAATTGGTGACTTTCGATCGTTACCCGCACTTGACTCACCTTCCGCCATCTTGGAAAAACTATTGAGCCTTCAGCACGGCTCTGTGGTATTGCCCATTCTAACGCGATGCTCGCGAGACTCAAGATCTAACTTATGAGTTGCCAAAAGCTTTGAATTTATACAAAATTAGCTAGCGTTGTTGGCGAGTTAACTGATGGCGACTTAGAGGTAGCGAGTCTTCCTGGTGGCGAGGTGACTGTAAACCTCCTACATCATATACACAGTTGGGACTGAGCAGATTTTAATGATTGCACAAGCTTTAAGTGGCGAACGAATCAGATTGCCTAGAACGCCAAGACCACAAAGTAAGTAAGTCATGGTTTGATTTGTTTCCAGAATATCCCAATTATACGTCTATTTTATTTTCAGAAATGAAATCTCCAGTATCCGAAAGATGTGGGCTCTTCGCGCAGGTGTTTTGGCCCTTAGATGCTCTTCAGTTACCATTGCAACACTGCTATCAGTCATTGCTCTTGTGCTGACTGAAGAAACTCTTACACCAGTCAACGTTTTTATGATGATTTCATTTAACAACATGCTCTCGATATGTATTTGCACTTTCCTTGCGTTTGCTTTACTAGACGGATACGAAGCTCATGCATCCATCGGTAGAATTGAAGAATTTCTCCTCGTGAGAAATTTACGAGTGACTTCAAGTGATCGTTCAAGCCGAAAAGAAACAGAAATTGAAGCGAAGAACTCATGTGATAAGAAGAGGAGTTCAGTGGATTTTCAGAAAAAACTGGGCGATTTTTCCATTGTGAATGAATTACAAGATGAAACAATATTGCGTGTGAGAAGTTTGACGTACAAGCAAATGGAGCGACGAGACTCCTATATTCTTCAGGATATCGAGCTTTGCACAACTACAAGTAGTTTGACAGTCATCACCAGGCCAGTTGGTAGTGGAAAATCTACTCTTCTCTCAGTGATCGCTGGCGAAGTTTCATTCACACAAGGAGAAGTATCCTGCCAAGGAACTGTAGCGTATGTTCCTCAGACGACTTGGGTATTTACTGGAACTATACAAGACAACATTTTGTTTGGTTTGTCACACGAAGAGGTAAAGTACACCAGAGTAATTGAAGCTTGCGCCCTGACTGACGACATCCAGCAGTTTCCTGACTCTGATCAAACACTTGTTGGCCAGCGTGGTGTTGCTTTGAGCGGAGGCCAGCGGGCTCGGGTAAGTTTAGCACGTGCAGTGTACGCTAATGCAGATGTGTACCTTTTGGACGATCCTCTGAGTGCCGTTGACTTCAAAGTTGGACAACATATATTTGACAAATGTATCAAAGAACTGTTAATCGGTAAAACTCGGATGATGGTCTCTCATCACGAAGACCACATGAAAGACGCTGATGAAGTGATCGTATTGTGTAAGGGCCGTGTGATGGAAAGAGGAAGTTTTCTTGAGTTGCAAGACAAAGGAATCTTTCATAAAACCACTGACCCACAATACAAGAAGATTTCGACCGAAGGCAATTCAGGTGGGAAGTTTGTAAGAGAGATTGAAAATGAAAGTGTTCGATCTGCTGGCTGCTTGGTTGGAATAGAATCTCCGTCAAAAGAAACCAGGAGTCTTCTTACGCCACAAGAAGATCGCGAAATTGGAGTAATTTCTTCCAAGCTTTACTGGAACTATTTCAGAAGTGGAATGTACACTTGGATGATTGTGGCAACAACCCTTTTCTCTGTAACAGCTCAAGGTACGACTTTAAAACGGCCTCTCAAAAAGAGCTTGCCATGATTGAGCAAATTGTTTTTAGAGTCAAAAGAAATCCAAGACTGCATTGAATTTGCTTTACTTCTCTCTGTAATTAGTTCAGAAAAATACTTGCAATTTCGCAATGAAACAGCTGTAAAAGCGGGCCTAAGACTTCGCCATTTATTGCATCGTGTCCCTCGAAAATCTCAACATTCCCATTTAATATTGACCTACAGGAAAGGATAAAATACATTAAATTTGTTCTCATTTAAAATAAATTGGACACACAATTAAATAGTGTCTTTGTCTTTCCTGTCGAGTACGTGTGTCTGAGGTATATCAGGTCAGGAGTCAAAATCTTCTTTTCGTTTTATATGAATTAAAATCAACACATGGAAAGTGTTTGCCTTAGTCTTACTAATTTTGCATTCTCTTTCCACTCAGGGATGTTGGTTGCTCCAGATGTGTGGCTCTCTTTCGCGACAAAGCAACCTCTTCAAGATCAAAAAGATCAATCAAACTTAGCTATGTATGGATGTCTTGTTGGTGTATCCCTCATGTTTATATTGGCACGAACATTTGTTTTACTCTCCTGCTTTTTACTATGCTCTGAACGTCTTCATGACAACATGGTCTTTGCTATTTTACAAGCTCCCGTCGTGTTCTTTGATTCGAATCCCGTGGGAAGAATCCTTAATCGATTTTCTAAAGATATCGGCTGTTTGGACGAGCAGTTACCAAGAACATTTCAGCTAGCAATTGACGCTCTCTTAATCGTGCTTGCATCAACAATTGTTCCAACTATTATAAATCCTTGGCTTACTTTCGTTCTCATACCATTGATTGTGGTTGCCATATACCTCTCCACGTATTATTTGAAGACATCTCGGGAGCTTATGAGGCTAGCGTCCATATGTCGTAGTCCAGTGTTCTCTCACATTTCGGAAACCCTTGATGGACTAGAGACGATTCGGACCAGAGGCCGACAAAGTGATTTTGTTGATCAGTTTTACAGGTGGGTTTGCCTCGTCTTTATTTTATCAAATGCATACAACATATCATTAGAATTGGGAGGATACGTCCCATACTCGATAGAATGGTAATGAATTAAGTTCACCCAAGGCTCTGACCGTTTTTCTCCTCTGCCTATTTTGGGAGAGGGAAGCGCCCTAGACCCCAGATTGAAAGATGAGGGCCTCAGCCTCAGCCGGCGCCTATGTTCTGTGTACCTTTCCAGGAAAATTGACATCGACGAGCTGGCATGAAGACCTGACGGAGGCAATCTTAGAAGATCTAAAACTCCATGACAATTTAGGGTAATGAAACACCTGGAATCAATCGTCATCACAAATTTTTATAACCTGTTTTATCGAGAGTCAATCCATGTATTGCCAAAATAACCCAATAATTCTCTCTTCTTCACTTGTTTTCGTAAAGACATCAAGATCTGCTGAATCAAGCTAACATTTTGGTACTAGCCAGTGGGAAATGGATCAGTGTGCGATTTGAAATTCTTGCATCACTATTTGTTGGTGCAGTGGCTTTATTGGCTGTTTATGTATCTCAGGATGCCGGTGAGTATGTATTAATAAAACACTTATCCGTCATCATAAGCACTTTGTGATCGAGTGAGCCAAAGCTCAATAAAATCCAATTACTTACATGGGCTCATCAGAATTAAGGTGATCAGTAAAAATAAAAAAAATTATGCATTCGCTCGGAATTGAGGGAAATTAGGGATAAACATTATGCGTACTTTTTAAGTCAGTTTTCAAATTAATCGAGTTGAGAAGTGGAATATATCCTTAATTACCATCTAGGTACTATTTTGACTACCTTCTTAAGAGGTGAATTCCGCTAGGCGGGCTTTAGATATGAAATTAACTCACTCCTAACCAATTTTGTCCCTTGTGCCTGGATTCAGTATGTGTTACGTCAATGAAGCACCTGCTCATTGTAAGTTCTCAGTTAAGACCTTTCCTGCGCTATGCATTTACCAGAAAATTCCATGGCCATGTCAATAGCTTCTTAAATTCCTTCGGTTCTCGACGATTATCAGAAGTCTTCTGTGTGTGATCAACGCACTGATGATGTGTCGGTGAACACTTGACACATCATCATTATTATCATTATCTTTAACAATAGTTGAAAAAATCCCCTCTTTTTGGGCGATTGGCGGTGCACCCAGTTTTTTCACAACCTCGTTGAACAGCACAGACAGGCGTCCATCATGGCAAATGCAGTTGTTCGCATTAATGAATCTTCTCATGATAACATCCTGTATTGCCTTATTTAACCTTCAACGGTAAGGGCGTGATAGGATTACTCCTTTCACTGTTCGGTGTGGAATATCAATTAGACATCTTATTTGGTTCATTCTCAATTACAGTTTTTCCCTTATTAGCTTTTGCTGGACTTGCCTTGGCTTATGTCGTTCAAAGATTTGGACGGACTCATTACGCCGTCCAAAAAACCTCCGAGGTTGAGAATTTGATGACGGCTGTTGAACGAGTTTTTACGAATACCAAGCTTGGGTGTGAGCCTGGATATGTGATAGAACGACGACCCCCGGAAAACTGGCCAAATAAAGGAAATATCATATTCAAAGACGTATCACTGACATATTATCTAGGAGGATCACAAGTGTTGAAGAACATCAAAGTCAATATTAAAGGGGGTGCAAAGATCGGTGTTGCCGGCCGGACGGGTGCTGGAAAGTCGTCTTTTGTGGCAGCTCTAATGCGCATGCCTGAATCATCTGGCGAAATAATCATTGACGGTATTCCAATAAAGCAAATCAACCTCCATGAAACTCGACGATGTATATCCGTTCTTGGCCAGAGTCCAGTTCTGTTCAGTGGATCACTGCGGAAAAATCTCGATATTATTGAACAGTTTACAGATGCAGATTTGTGGCAAGTTCTAAAAGATGTACAACTAAAAGAGTTTGTGAAAAGTGTTCATGGGAACCTTGATCATGAACAGTTAGAAAATGGTGCAAATATCAGTGTAGGAGAACGACAGTTGATTTGTTTGGCTCGTGTGCTGTTGCAGCGAAACAAGATCGTCGTCTTGGATGAACCCACGGCCAATGTAGATCCAAAAACAGAACAAACAATTTGGGGCGTGGTGCGTGAAAAACTGAGGGATTCCACGGTCATCACGATAGCTCATCGATTGAACACTATCAAAGACTGTGATAAAGTTTTGGTTTTGAAACATGGAATGGTAGCAGAGTTCGATGAGCTGGACACATTGGTCAACACAGAAGAAAGTGAGTTGGGCGAGACGGCACGAGTTGCCACTTCCAAAACAAAGTGACCTCAATTAGCCGGTGAACTTTTTCTCAGCTGCTATCTGTAATTCCTTTATTTGCTAACTTTGGTAATCACAATTTGTTCACTGTTAACCGAGCTTCGCTTCTTATGGGGAAGACCCTTAGCTGATTTTATCTACCGAGCTTCGCTTCTTATGGGGAACACCCTTAACTGATATTATTTACCGAGCTTCGCTTCTTATGGGGAAGACCCTTAGCTGAGTTTATTTACCGAGCTTTGCTTCTTATGGGGAAGACCCTTAGCTGATTTTTATGTTGTTATTATTTGTAGCTCGTGCCGTTCTATCTTGAGGAAGTTCCTCCTCACTGTTAGTTAAATTTGCATCAAAGGACCGCAGATTGTCTATACTTGTCGATCAGTATCAGAGGAGCTGTGGTAGCTGATGGAATATTTCTTCGGAAATGTTTTCGTCCTTATCATTATGTTTTCCTCATCGTAGTTTATGGGCAAGAATGATGTCTAGAGCTTTCTGAATTTTTCCGATTATGATCTCGAATTTCGTAGGAAGAAACCGGTAATTTTTGAAGTCCAGTTGTGATGTGACGGTAGAATATCATATTTCAAAGCAGATTACAACCAAAAGGAAGTTCTTGGATATACTGGAGCTTTTGGTGTACAGGTCCACAGGATTCACTGCCGGGAGGATAGAGAATTAAACAACTGTAAATTAATTATTACATGGCAAAGCCATTGTTCGTTCTACCTGCCAGTGGACCATGTTAGGCGTAGGAGCGCAAAAATGCGAAAAATCCCTCCAACGCAAAGTAGATGTAGGAGGTCATCGTAACTGGGATGTTTTAATTCTTTTGAAATCCAAAGAGACCAACAATTCATTGATATTTCACTTTTATGGAGTCACTTGATCGTACTGAGGGAATGACAATAAAAAAGGCCTTTATTGTAAATGTTATTGGAAAAATGTGAAGAAGACTTTAAGTTACAGAGCGAAGTCAGCAAGTAATGCTAGAAGTTTTTTTATAAAGTGGTGAACGCTCCATTGGGTAGAAATAATCTAGGAACATACAATATTCCACAATCATAAGTTAAACATTGAAAACCAGCCCCCATTTTACTTTTCTACTGGCTGAAGCGTAGGAGAGCATAATGGTGTATATTAGCCAAAGTCATACTCCAAACGCGCGAAATTTTTTATAAGTCGAAAGGTTGAACCCCTCTGGGGAACTTACCAGTCAGCAGGAGTTTGGATACACCAAACGAGTTTAATGTTTAGTCATTTCTAGACGTTATAGACCTTTTAATCCAGACCGCCTTCATTTTCAGGGTCCGAAGGTGCCTGTGTTAACATGGTGACTTTTACATTAATAATTGAAGAACACTCCATGAAAAATTTTCACCGGTGATGCATAGAGTTTTAAGAGCGCTTGACCTGATCCACCGACGTACCGGTGGACGCTTCATCAGTAAAAGATAATGAAGAACCCGTCCCTTTTAAACAGCTTGAGCTTAAAAGGGAATCGAAAACGCAAAGGAAAGCAAAACTTCTGATTTACGAGCCAACTGAAGCAGAAAACTTGGACATCAACATGAGGACAACCCTATCGATTATTTTCCTTTTAGTTGGGATTGACTATATGGCCGCTAAGAAACACAAAGGTGACCTGGAGATATTTAGCCATAAATGTTGACAATTATGGAAGGCTATTCGTCATGACAGGACAGAAAAAGCGTGCACTGTAAGTACCCTCCCGTTGTCCCATACAAAGCCTTAGAAAACTTTTCAAAGGCTTCGTGTGGAACAACGGGAGGGTACTGACAGTGCACGCATTTTCCGTTCTGTCATGAAATTTGTGTTTAGCTTTGACCTCAATGCCTGTTGTAGCTTGACACTGAAGTATCTAACATGTCTCATCTTTATTGCGCTAAAGGAAATCTGAATGAATAATGTAATGCGTTTGTGGAAATCATTCTAAACGCTATGAAAAAGATTGCTCATAATTTTCTGTTTCTTTTCTTTCTTTATTTCGTCTTTCCTTTCTTCCCTGTCCCCTATTTTCTGCAACAGTAGCTGCTCCCCCTGAAGAAGATGAAGATGAAGTTATTGAGAGTAGTGGTTTGCCAGGCCGTGGTATGTAGGAAGAAAAACGCGCAAACGTTTCTGTTAATTTCATTTTCTACCTTAATATTTTTTTCATAACGTGAGCTTCATCCTAGACTTTGTCTCATTATGTTCAACTCTCTTTCTTACGGACACCTTAATGACTTCCGGCTATTTTGTCTCTCAAAGACACAAAAAAGGGTTTTTTGTTAAAAAGTGTGCTGTCGATCGTACACTCCTGTAATTAATGTTTAAATATTTCTCCTCTCTCAAGTTTTAATACATTCTACTTTGCGCAAATATTATTTCGCTTTTAGCAACACTCAGGCTGCAGCCGACGTGTTTCCGATGTGCTTTTCCTTTAAAACCCCCTTAGTTCTTGCAGGGGAGAAAATTTATTAAGGGTTCTTGTTCAATTTGTTACACATGGATACAAACTTTTCCACAACCATACTCCTTGGTTCTTAATCCGTTGATCGATTCTTTAAAAACTGGGATTTCAAAACTATTATTTAAGCAGGAGCTATTTTTTAAAATAATTGTTCTACTCTCTCTCTCTCTCTCTCTCTGTCTCTCTCTGTCTCTCTCTCTCTCTCTCTCTCTCTCTGTCTCTCTCTCTCTCTCTCTCTGTCTCTCTCTATCTCTCTCTCTCTGTCTCTCTCTCTCTCTCTCTCTGTCTCTCTCTGTCTCTCTCTGTCTCTGTCTCTCTCTGTCTCTCTCTCTCTGTCTCTCTCTCTCTCTCTCTGTCTCTCTCTCTCTCTTTCTCTCTTTCTCTCTCTCTCTCTCTCTCTCTCTCTCCTTCTTTATTTATCTTTTTAGCCTTTTTACTGCGGCTAGTCTAAATGGACTTAACGATTACATCGAGAGTAAGAGGTACACACAATCGAAGAGAGTTGCTCTCATAGTTACATCCAGGATTCTCAAGCTTTATCATTTCCACAATGTTTTCATACTAAAGGTTCCTTTACTTTACCTTCTTTTTGCAGAATGTGACCCACCGCTCAGGGACACGTATTGCCTAAATGGTGGGACATGTTTTAGAATTCCAGGCCCTGAGAAGGCCCCTCACACAGGTCCCCATTGCGTTTGCCAGACGGGTTTTATAGGGAATAGATGTCAGGATGTTGATATTGACTTAGGGAACTTTCTTGACAATTTCAACCGTGTGTGAACTTTTTAATGTAGCATGTAATGCCGAATTAAATTATATCAAATTCTATCTTAGGTTTTCCTGTTTCGTGTAATGCATACTCTTCCTTCCATATATGTGATAAAGCTATGGTTGGTGCGCATGATTTTAGATTTAGAGATAAAACTTTGACTCCTGAC